AAATTTGGGGTCATGTTATAGAAATTTATCATACACCAGTAATTTCTAGTTTACCTTTTATTTTAATGCAGAGGAAAGATACGTCATTTCTTGAAAACTTCTAAGTAAAGATGTGAGAAATTTGAAATTAATATAAAAAACAACAATGATTATACAGTATTCTGTATGATGACTAGCTTAGCATCAAGTCTTGGTATCAGTTAAGTCATTGCATTGTTAGCTGCATAGGCGTATAGAAACAATTTTCATCTAAATCTTGTTTCTCCTGTGGAAACAAAGCAACCTGGATCTTGTGAGCATTTGGCTTTCACTTTAGTATCTCCTTAGGAGGGGATGGGGCTCAGTTGGTAGAGTATTTGTCTAGTATGTCCAAAGTCCTGGGTTTGATCCCCAGCATGCCATAAAACTGGGCTTGGTGGCACATGCCTGTGTAGTCCCAGCACTTTGAGGTGAGGCAGGAGGATTAGAAGTTCAGAGTTATCCTCAGCACAAATCCAAATACTACGACTACTACTACTAGTAATTATAATAATAAATGATTTCCCAATGGCATGTACCTGGATTCTAGGTACTTGAGGGGCTGAGGTGGGAGAATTTCTTGAGCCACACCATGTCCTAAAAAAATAAAAACTGAGGGGCTGGAGAGATGGCTCAGTGGTTAAGAACACTGGCTGTTCTTGTAGAGGACCTGGGTGGTTCCCAGCACCCATAAGGTGGTTGACAGCTGTCCATAATTCCAGTTCCAGGGGATCTGAAGCCCTCTTCTGACCTCCTTGGACACTGTATGACACAGATACACTTACTGCATACATCCAGGCAATACACTCATACACATAAAATAAAAATAATAAAGTATTTTAAAAATAAATAAAAACTAAAAATAAGCAAGTAAATAAACACCAACAAATCACTGATTCCAATTTTTCTATTTGGAAGTGCTTCATAATAATGATAAAGGGAGTCTAAGAATAGCTACTGTTATTTCTCAAAGATCCATTCCAGAAATCAAGTGCAATACTGCATGTAAGTGTTCATTTAAAAGTGAAATCTATAAGCTGATGAATCTTCCTGTCATGATCCATTCAGGTTGTTTTAAGAATATAGAGATGGACTGGAGATGTGTCTTGGTTGCAGAGCACTTGCCTGGCATGTGTGGGGACCTGAATTTGACTGCTAGTAGTGAGGAAAAAAATGGAGCCAGCTGGGCGGGATGGGGCATGCCTTTAATCCCAGCACTGGGAGGCAGAGGCAGAAGGATCCAAGGCCATCCTGATCTGTGTAGTGAGATCCAGGTCAGCTAGGAGCACATAGTGAGACCTTGTCTCAAAAAACAAAAATGAATGAATGAATAGATGAAGCTAGTCAAGGGTAATAGATTCGCACTGGAAATCATTTCTTATCACTGCTGAGAAATGGAGCTTGGAGAGTGCAGGATAGTGGCCTTATTAATTGCATCAGTTTAATTTGGGGGGAGGGTTGGTTCATTTTTGTGTGTATCAGTGTTTTGCCTGCATGTATATAAGTGCACCTGTGTGTGCAATACCCATGGAGTCCAGAAAAAGGCATCAGATCCCCTGGAAATGGAGCTCCATGTGGAACTGCTGGGTGTAAAACCCAGGTTCTCTGGAAGAGCAGTCCCCCAGTTGAGTCAGTTTAGGCAAGACCTTGTTAACTGCATCATCAAGTGTTTAACCCAGAAATGATGCACTCAGGACTGTAGACCTTGACATTCTACTTGTTATTCATTTCAACATGAAGTAGTGGCCCTTAGATTTCCTCTGGGTTTTTTTTTTTTTTTTTTTTTTTGTCTTTTTGAGACAGGGTCTTCCTGTAGCCCTATCTGGCCTAAAACTCACTATGTAGACCAGGCTGGCCTTGAACTCACAGAGATCCACCTCTACATCCTAAGTGCTGGGATTCAAGTTGTGTGCCACCAGGTCCAGCTGGCCCTTAGATTTCTAAGTGACTATTTATTTACTTGCGGACTCATGCTGGGAATTGAACTCACAGTCTCGTGCATACTGGACAAAGACTCTGCCATCGAGTTCTGCACCCTACCCCTCTAAGGAGAATTTTCAGTCACCCGCAGAGCACACAACTACCACATTTCATGCTCTGAGGTGTAACTTTTAGTACTTTGAAGTAAGAGTTTATCAGAAAGTAAACTGTCTTACAGGAATGAGTTGCGTTTGATTGCAAGGAATCTAAAATCTCTTGCTTTATTTCAGGGTAGTGTCTACATGCCACTCTTTGCTGGTTGGAATTTTTGGCCTGTACCTTTTCTTATTTGATGAAGCGACAATAGCCGATCCACTTTGGTAAGCTGTTTCTGCCCGAGCTACTCATTTTGATTTACGATTTGCTATTAATTATTAATAACAGCCTCACTTACTTTAAAACAGAAAATATTGATTATTTATGATGTATGCTTTATTAAAATGCTTATATTGAGTCTTATTTCAGCCAATTACCTTAAACTGATTTTAGATTTAAGCACAAATATTGAAGGTCATTTTGCTTTCATGTTGCATTTATTTAAAGCAAAGAGAAAATTAAGTAAATCGTTATGCTGCATTATTGAGTAAAACCAAGTTATCATGTCACTGACCACTGTTCTGACCAAAACCAAGTCATTATCAAGACAGGACAGTGAGCCAGGGTAATAGCTACTTAAGACACTGTCTTCAAATTTTTTTGACCCATTTTTTTGCTATCAGAGAAGGGAAATGAGAACTGGGAAATGCCCATGTGAGAAGAATTTAAAACCATATGAGAAACATTAATAAATATTTAATCATTTAGGGACTGCAATAATTTAAGATAACTAATAACATTGTTCTTTCTGGAAATAAGAGTCATTGCAATGGCAGAAATTTTGCAAATTGTATTTCCTGGAGCTACTTAGAAAGGCTTAGGTTAGCTTAATCTGAGAGAGTAGGCACGTTGGAATCGTTGCATTTATGTGAGGTCGCTCAGGGCTCTGTGGGATTCAGAACAATTTAACCAGGTGTTTTGACCACCACTGCTTGATTATAAGATCCCCACCCCATCATAAATGTGAAACTATTCTCATCAGGATTAAAACTGATAGGTTTTCATTAGGAAGATATTTTCCAAAGTGACTCAACTTAGCAAATTTAATTCCTTGACCAGATTTTTGTATCATCTCTCTAAACAATTTGTATTTTAAATTTTTGCTTTTTTTAAATTTAAAATTTAGCTTTTTTTGAAAAAAAAATTTTGCCTGCATGTATGTGAGTGCACCCGTGTCATGCAATGCCACGGAGGTCAGAAGAGGGTGTTGGATTCCCCTGGAATTGGAGTCAAGGATGGTTCGTAGCCACCATGTAGGTGCTGGGAATCAAACCTGGGTCCTCTGCAAGAGCAGTCTGTGCTCTTAACCGCTGAGCCATCTCTCCAGCCCCTTGTTTTTATTTTTTAAAGACAGGGTCTGCCTGTAGCCCCAGCTGGACTAGAACTCACTATGTAGAGCAGGCTAGCCTCAACCTCACAAGAGTTGGAGTCAAGGATGGTTCGTAGCCACCATGTAGGTGCTGGGAATCAAACCTGGGTCCTCTGCAAGAGCAGTCTGTGCTCTTAACCGCTGAGCCATCTCTCCAGCCCCTTGTTTTTATTTTTTAAAGACAGGGTCTGCCTGTAGCCCCAGCTGGACTAGAACTCACTATGTAGAGCAGGCTAGCCTCAACCTCACAAGAGATCAGCCTGCCTTTGCTTCCTGAGTGCTGAGACTAAAACTAGCCTTTGAGATATAAATTTTATTTTTATAGATGGCTCAGCGGTTAAGAGCACTGACTGCTCTTGCAGAGGACCCAAGTTCAATTCCCAGCACCCACATGGTGGCTAACAACCATCTGTAACTCCAGTCTCAGGGGATCCGACAGCCTCTTTTGACCTCCGTGGGCATTGCATGACACGTGCACTTACACACGTGCACTTACACACGTGCAGCAATACAGTCATACACATAAAATAAAAATAATGAATAAAATATTTTTTAAAAATTTATTTCTAAAAGATTTTTTGAGAGGGCTGGAGAGATGGCTCAGCGGTGAAGAGCATTGGCTGCTCTTGCAGAGGACCTGGGTTCAATTCCCAGCACCCACATGGTGGCTGACAACTGTCTGTAACTCCAGTTCTAGGGGATCCAGTGCTTTCTTCTAACCTCCTTGGGCCAGTGCACCTCCACAGGTGCACTTACCCACATGCAGGCAATACACTCATACACATAAAAAAATAAAAATAAAATACATTTTTTTAAAAAGTTCTTTTGGTTCATTGGCCAAATTTTGGCTAGGTAAACTTTAACCTAATATACATTTTTCTGTTTTTTTTCTTTTATGCCATGATTTAGCCCACATCCAGTTTTCCCGAGTTGCATTTGCAGGTCAAAAAAAATCAGCATCTAGAATTCTATTTGAGTCTTTCTGTGAATAAATCATATGAAGACACATTTATGAACCTTTTTATAAACTTACTTTCTGTAAATTTTTTTGATAATTGTGTGTATGTGTGTGGTAAGAAATGATGGTTATTTGTGCAGTCAGAAGGATTGTCTTCACGGACACAGGGCTACTTGCTTAAATTGGTTTTGAAAGGGTCTAAAATTGGTAGTGATCAGTGAGTCTGTAGGCATTTTCCAGATGCATTGTAAGTCCACTGGCGAAAGATACCTTTCCTATGCCCATGGATTTGGAGATTCTTGGAATACCTCTAAAAATGTCAGCTCAAACAATGCATAGGGTGCTCTTAGTCATCCTCCAGACATCTGGTTTTTTTTTTTTTTTTTTTTTTTTCCTTTTGGAGACAGGGTCTCCTTGTCGCCCCAGCTGTCCTGGAATTCACTATGTAGACCAGGCTGGCCTCAAAGTCACAAAGATCCACCTGCCTCTGCCTCCCGAGTACTGGGATTAAAGGTGTGTGCCACCATGCCTGGCCAGACATCTGTTTTAACATTTCCAGCCTCAGTATGGATTAGTTTTAGATGGTTTTTAGAGGATTTCAGCCTAGTTTAAATTCCAAGAATTGGTGATTTATCATGAAGAAGATTCTAGAGACTGACTTGGGCTTAGAGTAAACTTCTTGAAAACTATGGGTGACAGGTCTCTTGATTAAAACAATTCATACTGAGTAGGGCTTGGTGGTGCATTCCTGTAATCCTAGCAGTTGGTAGATGGAAGCAGGAAGGTCAGGAGTTCAAGTTCAAGGTTGTCTCAGCTATGTGGTCAGTTCAAGACCAGCCTGGACCACATGAGACCTTATCTCAATAGACCAATGAAAAAGAAAAGAATTCATGTATAACTCATGCTTAAGAAAATAATGTGTTATATTTATAGGGGTGATCCTACACTTGTGAATGTGAATATTGCCACTGCTTCAGGCTACCTCATTTCTGGTATGTGATATATTGTTCATTTGATTTTTAAAATACTCATGGAATTGTGTAAAGAACACACTGTTTATGCGTTTGGCTTATTTGAAAAATAGCATTTAGGGGTCTGTGCAGCAGAAAATAGTATCTGCAACCGTTGCAGAACATGACACATTTTTATTAGCTTTTTAGTTCTCAAGAAAGGAATATCTTAGTTGTAGAGTGAGGCCTCACACCACTAAGGCCTTAGCACTTTTTAAAAAAATAGTGATCACCCTTTTCCCTAAAAAGTCTATTAGTGTAATTACTCTGAGGCTATGGAGTTCAAGCCTATGTCCTTCACTTTCTGGGGCCCTTGAAAAATGTTTCAGTAGTCATAATTTTGTATTGTTTGGTAAAAATTTGCAGTTGTAAGCTACTTAGGCATAACCAGTGAGGCTGTGGGGTCCCACTCCACATCCCCCTCTGCTCTATTTTCTTTCATGTTGGATGGGGTTGGATTGGCATTTTTTACAGTGAGGCCAAGGGCTGTTGAGACTGTCATCTTCAATTTGAAACAGAATTTTGGATCATCTTAATAAACAAGATAAAAATAGAGCCATGATTAGGACATTAAATTGTAATTCAAAATCTTATTAAATAATTGAAAGAAAATCCAAGTAAAGATAGACTGATACAAAAAAGATAAAGAAAAGGGAGGAATTTATAAGAAAATTTTGTGTCATGAAGAGTTGCAGCAAAAATAATTGTATCCGTGGTGGCGCATGCCTGTAGTCCCAGCACTTGGGAGGCAGAGGCAGGCGGATCTCTGTGAGTTCAAGGCCAGCCTGGTCTACATAGTGAGTTCCAGGACAGCTGGAGTTACAGGGAGACCCTGTCTCAATAAAAAAACAAAAAAGATGAGATGTGATGACTCACTATAACTTTCCAAATAGTCCTGAAACCTTAGTTTTTCTTAGCCTCTTGTCTTCCTAGAATTTGAATATAGATGTAACAGATTTGTTTTTTGTTTGTTTTGTTTGAGACAGGGGCT